AAGGTAGCATACATAATTGTTTGGAAGGTGAAAATAGCTTGCTATGGTACATCTAGAAGCCTTGTTTGATTCTTTATGCTCTGGGAAACCCTAACACAGATCTAGATCACATCAAGTTGCTTCCCCTACCAAAAACATTGTTAACAATGCGAACCCCATCGATTAATTTTCTGTCTAATGGTCTCCATTATATGATCATACTCATTTGTCTGCTTCTGTGCAATGCAATTAATTGCTGGACCTCGTGGGAAGTGTTCAATCTAACTTTTCTCCATATTTAATATCCCATAAAAATTAATAATTCAAATAACCATTCCCCTTTTCCGTGCAAGCTCCAATAGGATAACATGATGAATCTGATTAATAAGGGGGAAATAATTAAATAAATGTGTGTCTTTAGACTATATATAGATTGTGGTCGATGCTTTTTGGGTACGTGCATCCATGGAGATGGAGGGTGCATGCTATAGTATGGATCAGCATACCTCATTTATAAAATTTGTCGTACGTACAATTTATACTGTACCATTGTTTTTCTGTGTACGAAATCAAGCATACAAAGTATAGTTTATTGACAAACTCTTGTCGTGCTCAACGTAGAATGACGATGAATCCATTGTGCAGTATCTGCTTACAGGGTGAGGAAGATAGCCTACATGTGCTCAAGGATTGCAGATTTGCCCAAGAAGTGTGGTCTAAGTCATGTAGAGATTCATCTTGGATGCTTGCGGATCAAGATAATTTACAGCCCTAGTTGTTGAAGAACTTATCAAACTCTAATCGTTCCCCTCCTGGGTGGAACTATAGATTTGCTATTACGTTGGATTCATTATGGCACTGCCGAAACAAAGCCATTTTTCAGGGCCAATCCATCACAGCTAATCAAGTAGTAGCTGAAATAAATGCTCGAATGATATCTGCTACCACATATGGTCTTAATCAACAATCACAAGTTGGGGAAGTTAATTATAGCTCTAGACTCAATTGGATGAAACCTCCAGAAGGTATTCTGAAACTAAATTGTGATGGGGCTGTGTCTAGAGAGAATATGGCCTCATGTGGGGGAGTGATCCGGGACTCAGATGGCAGGTTCGTGGTGGCATTCACAGGGAAGTTAGGTATGTGCTCCATCCTTAAATCGGAGCTCTGGGCCATTCTACATGGATTGCGCATTCTAGTTAATAGGAATTTGGGTCGTCAGGTGATAATTGAGTCGGATTCTTCCACTACAGTGAGACTTGTTAATGAAGGTTGCTTTGGTTCTCACCCATATTTTGACCTTGTTTAAGAGATAAGAGAGCTGAGTAATCAATTCTCCTTGTTTTCATGTTACTATATTTTAAGAGAAGTTAATTTAGTTGCGGACATTCTTCCTAAGCGCAGGATGGTTTTAGAGGAAGACTTTTTTGTTTACGAGTCTCCTCCGTCTTTTATTTATCACTTGTTATTAACAGATAATTCTGCTTTTCTTTTAATTTATTGATTATTTGATCGGGCTTTAGCCCCTTATTTTACCAAAAAAAAATATCATAATATTTTCACATCAAATTTAAAACCAGATATAAGTTATACAAAAATATTAAGATCATATAGCACATTGTCAATAAGATTTTAGTTGAATAATTTAAAATAATTAATATTTCAATTATATAGTTAATTAGCAAATAATTTATTCCAAAACTAATTAATTTTGTCTATATTAATTATTAGTAAAATTTAACAACTTTTAATTTACCAATTGGATCGATGAAATTCAACGCACACCATGAGTTATTGAGCAAAATTACTTTACCAAGAATTATTTCATAAATTATTTGATTCCTCCACACTCTCTCTCTCTCTCAAAGGCAGAGAGGAGGATTATACTAACACCCGTGTAACTTTTACTAAGTATTAGACACTGTTTAATAATTTTATATTAAATGTGAATTTTGTAAATTCAACCGTTAGATTACTATAAAAATATAATAATGTATAATAATTATATTACAAATAATAATAATA